CTGCTTTTCCCGCAAATAAAATCAGACCCTAACTGAACCTCCGTGCCCAGTAATAAACACAAAATAAATGTAAACTCTCTCCCCTACAGGGAAAGCACAAGAAGCCATCCGGGTCTCGCAGCCGTAACACCAGGGAGTCCTGTCAGGGGGAGATGTCAGACCAGGAGGCCGGAGCGACGCACTTCAGCGGCTCCACACACAGCTACCAGAGATACGACTCTCTGCCCACCTCACCCAGCTCAATGTGAGTGTGAACACACTGTAGATTAAGTGTCCACCCTGTTGGGAAAACTCATCCCTCGAGACAACAAAACACAAGACAAAGTTAGCGACTAGCTGGTGAATAAAGTGGAACATTTAGCAGATAAGGAACCACATATGTTTCTCTGAATATCATGGAGCCCAAACCAGAGCTAAAAGGAGTAATTATTGGACGTGCATTCATCACGTAAATACAAGGCTGTTTGCTGACATGCAAGTAACAGCACTTACAACAATGTTAATAATACAAGTTAATATTTAATTATGTCTCTCTCTCTCTCTCTCTCTCTCTCTCTCTCTCTCTCTCTCTCTCTGCAGGCCTCACATCTCCATGGCGGTGAGGATCAACTCCTCTGATGGCTTGGTGCTGTACGCGGCTGGTGGGCAGCGTGGCGCAGCCGTGATGTCACTCAGCGCGTCAGACGGCCACCTGTTGCTTTTGTTGGACGGAGGAAAGAGGAAGGTCAGCCTGCGAAGCCGCAAGAAGTACAACGACAACCAATGGCACACGGTGAGGTTAAAAGCAGGGTCATGTGACTAGTTCTACCCAGGAAGTGAATTTGAGTGAATCTGACAAGTTTTCATCTCACAATTTAAGTCTGTCAGGTTTGCATTATATCACCCAGACAGCCTGTGTCTGATTCACCTGAATATCTCACCTGCTCTGTCTTTGTCACCTCAGGTGTTTATAAAGCGCGAAGGAGAGAAGATCAGCCTAATAGTAGACGGTATCAGCGCTCAGTCTAAGAGAATGCCTGGAGGAGACAGGACTCGTCTCGCTGGGCCTTTATATATTGGAGGAGTCCCGCCCTCACTGACGGTAAAGCATCCAGACTACAAATTACACACACAAGAGTCGGCTACATGGCTGGATGTGATATATCAGTACCAGAGATAAATACTTTTTGAAGTGGGGTTGTATGAGGTACTGAAATAAGTACAGAATAATGGAGGAATTCTAAAGTAATGCGGTAAATAAAACTAAAATAGAATAGAAGAAACATTAAAGACAAAATTACAAGGCAAAAGTGACAGTGGGGATGAGTAATATCTGAATGTGAGATACTGTTATCTCACACACCGACTCCAAGACAGGAAAGCACCTTCATCACACATCTATTCTTCATGACTTGTTTTCCATCTGTGTTGTTTTCTTACAAACTTCAGGCTCCAGGCTCCGGTGGCTTCGTTGGTTGTGTCAGGGACCTGACGCTAAACGAAGCCCGTGCAGAAAGCCCCGCTCACAGTCAGGGGACGGTGCCCTGCTTCCAGAGCCCTCTGCAGCCCGGAGCGTATTTCTCTGGCCAGGGAGGACACATGGCAATAGGTTGTTATTGTCACTCTTCTTCTGTGTTTTTAAAAATTTCAGTCACGATGCATCTTCTTGTTTGGGTCATGATGTGTCCTGACGTAAGGCTCTTTCTCCATGCAGATGAGTCCTTAGTTCTAGGTCGGGATCTGGAAATCAAGTTGGAGGTTCGGCCCGTCTTGGACTCTGGCCTGCTGTTGCATGCTGGGACATCACCTGACCAACGCCTGAGTTTGGTCCTCAGACGGGGAGAGGTGAGACGACACCAGGGAGGGTTTTAACAGCTGGATATTATTTGTATTGAGTTGTAAAAGAAATGCAAGAAAACAAAAGATGAGAATAATAATTTTTGAACTGAACTAAATTTTGTGTGTGTGTGTGTGTGTGTGTGTGTGTAGGTGATTGTTTCATTAACCAGCGGCAAAGGTGAATTCTCTACCTCCTTTACTCCTGAGGAACCTCTATGTAATGGGCGCTGGCACACAATCACAGGTGATTTTACATCAACAAGTTATTTGTCACTGTGTTGTTGCCCTGTTGTAACGCTGAGATAAAGATGTGTCGTCTCTGCGTCTCCAGTGGTGAAGAAGAACAATGCCCTGGAGCTCCACGTTGATGCAGCCAGTGAGCACAGCGTCGGCCCCAAACAGAGCCGCTCTGCAGGGTCCAAAAAGACCGTCTACCTTGGAGGGGTACCCGGTGAGTACAAATTCACCCTGGTTTTCCTTTTCTTTCTTTTGTTGCACAATGCCTGATCCTGTTTCATTATGTCTTATGGTGAAAATGAAAGTAGTTTTCCACAAAGAACCACCATCTGAGATCATTTATATTAATATATTACATTTTTCCATAACATTGTAATACTTTCTTTAGACTTTAGACTTTATTAAACCCAAGGGGAATGTATCTCCACATCACTGTACATCTCAGACAACAATACATACAACATCACAATAGTAACGGCATACATTCATGTGATATTACTTACTTTCTCTCTATGGCGGTTTTCTTTTATATTGCAACTATTATGTTTTTTGAGTTACTTCAAACTAACTCAACAGTTATAGCTGTAGAATTCATATGGTAATTATGTCAATTCCACACAAAAAAAGTTAAAATTATGAAGTGATGACATTTTGGACAGACGGATGTAAACTGCAACATGATTGGTTGGTGGAGCCATGCGGCTGCGAGGCGGTAATTCTAGATTTCTGTTGAACATGTTGTTTGTCCACCAGATGGCGTCACAGTTCCTGGTCTACCTGCAGGCCTGCCAGTCTTCCACGGTTGCATCCGCCAAGCGACGATCAACCGCAGACCTGCCATGTTGTCCAAACCACTCGCTGTGCACGGAGCTGTGGGGATGCAGGGCTGCCCACACATGTAAACCCAACACACACAATCTTATCCTCACATTCCCCAACTGCAAATTACTGGTGGTGGGTGTCATGTTACTGTAGCTAATTTAAAATATATATTAATATTTATTTTCTATTTTCAGAAAAATGTATATTTTATATTTTACAGTTTGTTTGTTGCAATATTACTGGTTTGTTTTTGTGCTACAGGGTGCTATGACGTCTGTCTGCGCATAGAGATGCACTGATACAAGACATCAAATATCAACTCTAAAATCAAAGGCCAATTCTAAAATGTGTAGTTTACTGTCAATGAAGGCAACACTGCTTTCTCTTTCTTGCTTTAGGAAGCAAATGGTATTGTGTCAATCGTCCAAACTAATTTCCTGAATCTGCATTATATATTGAAGTAAATGATGCATACAGCCGTGTATCGTGCATCTCTAGCAGAGAATGTTAAGAATACCTACTGAGTCGGTACACTGTGAACACTGATGTATGAGCAACGTCCTCAGTCAGCGCAGATGGGCAATGTCACCTGGAACTGGACATTTGGGAATAACGGGCGTCTCAGTGACACAAAGATGAATACATTTATCACATAACACCAAGAAAGGTCCAGTATTAACCAGTGGTTTAATGTAACTAAGTACATTTACGCACTGTACTTAGTAATACTTTGAGGTACTTGTACTTTACTTCAGTATTTCCATATTATGATAATTCAGGTTTTCAAGTTGGAGGTGGGCTTCTCTCCAAACATTTTCAGGGGAGGCTCAGTGAATGGAAATGAAACAAATACAACATTAGGGCCGGGTTGCACCAACAAGGATTAATTAATCTACAATCAGTACTAAAAACTAGGTTTAAAATGAGTAAATTCAATCATTACGAGCATTACATTACTCATGTCGGCAAAATTATGGCCACATGATAAAAATGAAAAAACAGGACACAGAAAAGGTAAGAAAGAAAGAAAATAGGCTGCCTGTTTGTCGAATATTCCTGTTCAGCTCCATAACAGTTTACTTGCATATGTATATTGTATCTGGATTAATATTACTACTACATTTATGTATATTAGTAAAACACTGACAGGGATCAATTTACTCCACAATCAGTACTGTTACTTTAAGTCCATTTTGATAATACGCAATACTAAGGTTTTGAATGCATTATGTTTACTTGTAGATGAATAGTTTTACTGTGTGGTATTAGTACTTCTTCCACCACTGGTATTTACATAGAAACACAGAAAAAAGAGATTAGAACAGGTCAGTCATTGGCTGTTCCAGTGTAGTTTGAACATGTTGCTCGTGTTTAATGGCCTTAAAAGTTATTTTCTCTTCTACATTCGGGTTTCAAAGTAAAAACGTAACTATCATTAAGGTAGAGGTTCACTTCCTTCTCCTCCTCACACATAATCTCTTTTCTCGTTCTATCAACGTTGGTGATAATGCTGCGTTCAAGTCATGTTGGAGTTACTGTAATAACCAGTTTCCGACTTGTGAATGGTGTTCATTTCAATATCCAAACTATAACTGACAGATTTTTTTTCTGAAAGGTCCAATGTATCTGACTTTGGCCATTTTTCAGTTGTTCAGGGTAATAACACCCACATGTAAGGAATAGAGTGAGTGCTATATTCACAGTATGTGAAAGCCTTACAGGGCATGAACGTGGGATTAATTCCTGTATGAAGAGAACTAATCATCCCATCTGCCAGCTCGTGTCCAGGTTCAGGCTACATTTCCCATCGCTATTCCGTCATAAATGTAAACATTTACAAAACATGAGTGTGTGAAACGTGTATGTAATATAACCACTTAAGAATATCTCACAGAAAGAATAATCTGTCCCTCCCCGTCACTCCCAGACCCCATGTTTGTAAATGTATTTTTAAATAAAGTCGTTTTTAAAATACAAATTACACTTTTCAGTGTTTGTTTCCTATCTGCAAAAGAGGTCAGTTGTTTTGGATGTCAAACATTTCTTTATTAAGTACCGACTCGGCACTTACTCCGGCTCTGACAGTTTAGACTGTAACAACAGAAGGAAAACAAAAATCTAACTTTGGGCTCAATCTCCTTTTATTTCATAAACTGACTCTCTCCTTTCAGAGTAAAATAAATTGTCAATAGAACAAAACAGAGCTGTTGATAAAGACAGTAGTCACAGGGAAAACTGGCCTAACTTGCATGTGTTAAACTGTGGCTTTCACACTGACTGAGGAGCAGAGTGTTGCCTTTGGTATAGAAAGGTGTAAGACAACCTGAAATGGGAGATAGGTACAGGAAAATGAATCTCAGATTTAACGGAGGCGTGGCTGTGTGAGGTCTAATCCAGACTCATGTCCTCGTCGTCCTCTTTCTTCTCTTTGGAGTCTCCTTTACTGTCCTGCATGGCTTTGGCAAACGCCTCCACATCTGACAGGAAAACCAAATACATATGAATAAATAACCAAAGAAAGAGGTGTATTTAAGGAAGAAAAAAATATGTTCCAAGTCTGATATTGCATGCGTCTCACCTCCTCGGTTGGCGGCGTCCACAGCTTCAGCCGGCAGACCAAACTGATTCATGAGAGGGCCGAGCTGCCCGGAGGCCAAGGCACTGCTGAACATACTCATCGACTGAAGGGGGGAGGAAACAGTCGCTGTCAAGCTGCAGCAATTAAACCTAATTAAAGTGCTCTATCCACACCTAATTAGCTAAAAATCAGGTGCATTGAGTCAATCGGGTGCTTGTGATCACACTATTTAGCAAATCAGATGTGGTTGCGAGGTCTTCAGTGCATTAGATTCTCAATAAAAATATCACATTTCCATAAATCTGTTCAGTAAAAGATTTTTCTCTCTTCCACATGAATGTCTTAACCAGAATTTATTTGGAGTTACTTTGTGTTTATCCGTTACCTGTTGGAACTGAGGCGAGTTGATTGTGTTCTGGATCTCATCAGCGCTCTGCAGTAAACTTTCTCCACTGGGGAGGAAGGGCAGCAGCCTCTGCTGGACCTCAGCGTTGGTCAGGATGGGAGCCATCATCTCTGGGGTGCAAACGCTTGCCAAGTCCACTAGAGAACAGGAGAGGAGCCCCATCAGCCATTCATTTTATTCTCTGGTGTTGGCTTCTTTACTCAGTCTCCTTCACTTAGCCGATGACGTTATTCAGATTGACTAAGCAGTCCTAAATCTGTCACCATACCAAGACCCCACATTCAATCATCTGTTACTCATTGTGGTGTAACAGACTGTAGTTTCATTTATCCATGATCTGTACCATCATAGTGTGTAGTAAAGTTTTACAGCTGATTGTTATCTGCCAATCTTCAGTAAAAATATATAATCGGCATTAATGCCTTCTAGTCGTTATATTTTTTCTGCTGATCAGATCCGTGACTCAAACCCATGAAATGATCTGAACCGTGAGTTTTGTGGTCCGTTGCATCCCTAGTCACTCACCTGCTGCTCCCTGAGCAGCCGACGTTGCGGGGACGTTCATGGTGGCGAGGATGCTTTGGAGGTCACTGAGCTGGATGGGCTGGTGGGAGCCAGGGCTTCCAACAGAGGCTGGAGCGAGTGGGGTCTGAGCAGCGGCTGCAAATGTGACAGTAAGTACAAGTTGTTTTTTTCCTCTTCATTAAAAGTGTGATTCTTAATTGGCAGAGAACTGACGCATAATGACGGTACTGCACTTGATGTACCTGGTGTGGAAGGAGCAACACTAGTAGGGGAGACCGATGTGGCAGCAGGAGTCACCGGGGTGGTGGTGGCCTGAGAGGAACTCAGTCTGGGGGCTGTGCCTGATGACGGAGTGGCGGCTGCTGCTGACTGGCTACGAGAGCTAAGAAGGAATCATTCATAATAATATAAATATTCAGAGGTAATTCATCATATTGTGTTCTACATCTTGTGTTCTGTCTTACCTGGATGAGGAGCTGCTTGTGGCAGGTCCTGCACTGCCCAGCAAGTTGGCAAGTCCTGGTCCTGCTAGAGCTCCCAAACCTCCTTAGACAAACATGAACAAATCAAAAAAGGTTCCAAATTGATGTCTGATTCTTATTTAAAACAAATACACCAGCTGTAAGCTTCACCTAACTTTGTGTTGACATCATAATTATGTAAGAAAGGGAGTAAAAGGAATGACAAATGTATATACTACTACTACAATACGTTTTTTTTTTATTAACGTCACTGTTTAACTACTACAGGACATTTTAGCTTATAATCATGTTTGATGAAATATTTTAATTTGTCTCAAGAGTTACTGTACTTGTGAGTCTTTACATTCTCCGGACTTTTTAATATGTGACCAGATTTCTTTGTCACCATGTTTATGGTGGTTTGCTGAAGACTTCCCTCGCTCAACAGATTCATGAGTCTGTGCTGTGGTTGAGTGTCAAGATTTATAAATACCTAAGAAATGCTACTCACCCAGTCCTCCCAATCCAGTTGGTCCAATCAGCTGCATCAGCTGGTTGTGGCTCATATTTCCCAGCAGGTTTTGCAGGCCTCCCTCTCCTCCGAGTGCAGAGAGCTCGTGGCCGCTGCCGCTTCCGCTTCCTGCCGCTCCGGGAATGGGAGGGTTGTTCAGGTACTCATTCACCTTACGACAGTACTCATCATCCTTGTCGGTCTTTGGCTCCTGATGGAAATGAGGCAAGCAGGAATTCCTCAAAATTAAAAGTTGAATTCTCCACAGACCAAATGAACAGGCTCCGATCTATCCGAGTCATTCCTATGTGATGACGCAAGGCAGATTTGACAACACCGAAAAGATAAAATAAAAGACACTGAATTCATACTAATTGTGCTTTCGTCGATCTGTTTCATAAGTGGCTTTATTCTACAAACACATTGCTGAAAACTAAAACAAAATCTGTCTCAACTGTTTTGAAAAGTCAGAAAATCTTTTGAAATGAAATATAAAGGGACAAAAACAAATCCATAAAAATGTGTGGCTGCCTGACAAATATACTGATTACAGCCATGCACATCCCTTCATCATGTGTAATAATCTCTCTTCTCTGCTCCTCAGTCTTATTGCCTCCCACTTCATTTTTCCCTCTATTGAACATCCATCTGCCTGCACACAAATGGACATAGACGTCACACAGTCACAAAAGACAGTCCCCATTTCTCCTCTCTTTAGAAAGAAGATGATGGGCCTCTTCCTCTCACCTGCATCCAGAAGAACAGTCTCTTGGATCCGGCCTTGAACTTCAGCACAAAGACACGTCCGGTGGTGCACTGGCTCACCTTCTTGAATTCACAGTCATCAGGGAAGATGATCAGGTCCTGGAACAGGAAAGCCACAACATAAGACATTCAGGAGAGAGAGAGGCGGAAAAAAACGCTGAGGTTGCTCTGCCATAACAAATCATCATTAACCGATTACTGAAAGGGAAAACAAAGGCAATAGCATCATAGTACCACTCTGGAATAAAGACACCTTGCTTGCTCTGTTGAAGCCCAGCTGAATACGGATTCAATGTGTAAGCATTGCTTGTATGCAAAATGACAAAATGAGACTCTTTTTTTCCATTGCAGGACTGCTTTAAGAAATCTTAAACAATATTTATGTTATGCGTTTAAAAAATGTTTTAACTATAAACATTGATATATTTAACTCAAACAAATGTTTTGTGTTTTTTGCCTCCGATGACAAAAAATTAGAGAAGAGAGAGATGAGAGACTAAATACAATAAAAATCCCCAGTCGGACCCAACCAGAACCACAGTGGCCCATGTCAGCTCTTCAAACCCCAAAAATGTTACTTTGCTCGAACTAAGAAATACGGCCTCGTTGTCCGATTGAAAATTATAATTTGTTCAAATGTATGCACTGTAGTCTGAACAATAATTTCAAAATCGGCGGGGGTCATAGAAACTCGTTTTGTTGACAACTAGAAAATATTACATCAGAGTAACAGTAAGTAGTTTAAAGTTACTCACATCATCAACATTTCCAGTGGTCCTATCCTTCCAGCAGAAGTGAATCAGGGAGTCGTCAGACTGCTGGACGTATGCAGTGCCCTTGCGTTTGTCCGGTGTCACGACGTTGCCCTTCAAGGTCATTTTCCCAGCACGAAACTCCACCAAGTACTTGCTGGAGCTTCCCCTAGAGCCGCTCACCAAGCTTGGAAAGAGAGCACCTGACGACATCTTTAGATCTCTTTGTAAACAAGCCTGAATACTGGAGGAAAAGAGAAGAGGGTCAGGTTTACAAGACCATAGTTTACATACAGGTGCTGGTCATATAATTAGAATATCATCAAAAAGTTGATTTATTTCACTAATTCCATTCAAAAAGTGAAACTTGTCCATTATATCCATTCATTACACACAGACTGATATATTTCAAATGTTTATTTCTTTTAATTTTGATGATTATAACTGACAACTAAGGAAAATCCCAAATTCAGTATCTCAGAAAATTAGAATATTGTGAAAAGGTTCAATATTGAAGACACCTGGTGCCACACTCTAATCAGCTAATTAACTCAAAACACCTGCAAAGGCCTTTAAATGGTCTCTCAGTCTAGTTCTGTAGGCTACACAATCATTGGGAAGACTGCTGACTTGACAGTTGTCCAAAAGACGACCATTGACACCTTGCACAGGGAGGGCAAGACACAAAAGGTCATTGCAAAAGAGGCTGGCTGTTCACAGAGCTCTGTGTCCAAGCACATTAATAGAGAGGCGAAGGGAAGGAAAAGACGTGGTAGAAAAAAGTGTACAAGCAATAGGGATAACCGCACCCTGGAGAGGATTGTGAAACAAAACCTATTCAAAAATGTGGGGGAGATTCAGAAAGAGTGGACTGCAGCTGGAGTCAGTGCTTCAAGAACCACTACGCACAGACGTATGCGAGACACATGGGTTTCAGCTGTCGCATTCCTTGTGTCAAGCCACTCTTGAACAACAGACAGCGTCAGAAGCGTCTCGCCTGGGCTAAAGACAAAAAGGACTGGACTGCTGCTGAGTGGTCCAAAGTTATGTTCTCTGATGAAAGTAAATTTTGCATTTCCTTTGGAAATCAGGGTCCCAGAGTCTGGAGGAAGAGAGGAGAGACACACAATCCACGTTGCTTGAGGTCCAGTGTAAAGTTTCCACAGTCAGTGATGGTTTGGGGTGCCATGTCATCTGCTGGTGTTGGTCCACTGTGTTTTCTGAGGTCCAAGGTCAACGCAGCCGTATACCAGGAAGTTTTAGAGCACTTCATGCTTCCTGCTGCTGACCAACTTTATGGAGATGCAGATTTCATTTTCCAACAGGACTTGGCACCTGCACACAGTGCCAAAGCAACCAGTACCTGGTTTAAGGACCATGGTATCCCTGTTCTTAATTGGCCAGCAAACTCGCCTGACCTTAACCCCATAGAAAATCTATGGGGTATTGTGAAGAGGATGATGCGAAATGCCAGACCCAACAATGCAGAAGAGCTGAAGGCCACTATCAGAGCAACCTGGGCTCTCATAACACCTGAGCAGCGCCACAGACTGATCGACTCCATGCCACACCGCATTGCTGCAGTAATTCAGGCAAAAGGAGCCCCAACTAAGTATTGAGTGCTGTACATGCTCATACTTTTCATGTTCATACTTTTCAGTTGGCCAAGATTTCTAAAAATCCTTTCTTTGTATTGGTCTTAAGTAATATTCTAATTTTCTGAGATACTGAATTTGGGATTTTCCTTAGTTTTCAGTTATAATCATCAAAATTAAAAGAAATAAACATTTGAAATATATCAGTCTGTGTGTAATGAATGAATATAATAGACAAGTTTCACTTTTTGAATGGAATTAGTGAAATCAACTTTTTGATGATATTCTAATTATATGTCCAGCACCTGTACATTTCACTGCAGCATGATTATTACTGGTATGAGTAACAAAACTAAGAAAAGGAGGAGACATAAATTAGTATTTTGTGTCTGTGTGGAACCATTTTTATTGTACATAATTTCCTATATTTGTGGACAGGGACAGAAATTTAATTTAATAAATTACTCTCTTACCTCTGAGTCATAGAAAAACCTAGTTCACACACACCATATTTAGCATGGACATGTAAGACATCCATAATTGTGCAAGTTGGACAAAAAGTAAATCTCAGGTTTCATACTTGTAGTTATAATACTTTTACTACAACCTAAATACTAGGTACTAACGTAATTTATATTTTGGTGCTACTTTTTGACAATCTGAATGCAGGACTTTAGACTTTAACGTTACTCGTAACAGTTTACACTGAGTATATTGCTACTTTTATTGAAGTAGACTGTGACGTTAGGTTATAGATTGACATTTATTTCGTATAGTATAACACTTTAAACTTGATATTTGACCGTAAAAATAGTGTTGTGGTATAATCCAAAAGTTTCAGGAGTTTTGAGCAGTTCGTTTGGGCCATATATACTTTTCTTAGCGAAGCTAACAAAAGTAGCAGTTAGCCAGCTGACGCTAGCTTTGTCATGCCGGAAGTCAATGCTAACGTTAGCCCGTGACTTGGCTAAAACCACGAAAAGGCCAAGTATCTAACTATTTATCTAACGAGCAAAAGTCATTAACCATTTTTAAATAACAGCCAACTTTGTACAGGAGCAGCTATATGTGAAACTGGTGTTTAGAAATGGATCGTGTTTAAATACCTGAAGTTGTGTAGGCAGAGTTCATAAACTTTTTCTTCTTTACGTGGCTTAGCTCGCTACTAGCAAAGATGCTCTGACGTTCTCTGTTACTATTCTGACTTCCTGGTATGTCGTGAGCGCGCCTACCATCACCGCGAACGAGCTTTTGGAAAAGAGGGCGGGGTTTCAACGCGTGAACCGCTCAGCCAGGATTGACAGCTCCTTCCTTCCTAGTGTAGCCATTAGCTCTGTGGCTGTTCTACCAGCGGTTTGAATGGTTTAGCGGCAGAAAGCAAAGCAAAACTGGGATGCAAGTATTATAAAAATATAGTGTTAACGTTACGCTTAATTTAAAGATAAACAGAAGCCACTCTAAAACAAGGTAAGAAACGCACACAGTTAGCCAAGTGGGCTAACACAAGTCAGCTTTGCTGCCCTTGGATTAGTTAGCGAGCTAGCGTTAAGTGCTAGCTGGGTTATCCAAACCAGGCGTATCGCCCAGTGCATGCTAGGCTAACCAACATGGATGCTGTGAGTGTTCCTTTGATGCCTGGAGATTATCCGCTTTAACCGCGGGTCGACCGTTATTTTCTAGTTCGGTTGACAGTCACGAATCTAGAGCCGCTACATACGTTACAGTATGTGAGGGCAGGCAGACGTTGGTTGGATTCTGATCGTTTTATATCGATTATTGCGACACATTTGACGTTAGTCAGTCTTAAGGATAAACCCGGATTTGTAGTCTGTTGCAAGTGATCTCTAATGTGTTTGTGACCTGTCTTTGGTAGTTAGTGTCAGAGAGACAGGTGCAACTGAATAGCATGTCAACAAAAATAGCCAAGCTATCTAAGAATTGATAGTTAAGTAGTCTAAATTACTTCCTTTGTATTGCTCTTAACGGGACAGTACCTATTGCTGAAATGGCTGGAGTAGAGCTGCTGTCCTTCACACTCTCGTTGTCACGAGATCACTTGTATCCTCTACCATATATAATATTATATAATGTTATATCTATATAACATTGTATGTCCTCGTGATGTATATGTGGAGTGGCAGGTGGTCTCAAAAACTGTCACTGCGTGGGTGTGTGAGAGAGCCCGCAGCATGTATGTTTATTATGGCAGAAGACATACAAATGTAATCGTGAAGTCTGGTCAGCCACTTTGGTTCTGTTATTAACTGCAATTGTAATCTTGTTAATTATACAGCAACCAGGTCCTGCAGTATAAGTCATGGTGATGTGTGTTTTTAGCAGGTATTGCATAAATGTATTCACATTTTCTCTCCCAACTGTGATTCTGAGGACTTGCACTTAAAGTCTGTTATTCATTTTTGTCAGGAATGATCAAAATATATTGCATTTGTCTCCATTTTGAATTTTAGGTTACTTTGTTGTGTTGTTGGCAGATTTTAGTGGAACAATCCATTGTGGTGGTGTTGCTGTAAATGTACTAGTTATATCTGTGCAGTGTTACTTACTTCCAGCGTATGACTGCTTGTGGATTGGTCTTTAATTTTTTGATGATTTCTTCTGGGAGCGTGTCACTTAATATAACTGTCAAACCAGCAGGAGGATAAAAGTAGGATGTAAAAACAAAACCACAGGCATTAGCATGGAGTCTAAATCAGGATAAGGGTGCTGATGATACAGTACAGTTATTGAGCAACTAAAAAGCAATTTGTCCATTTTCAGGTACTATGAACAGCACTGTAATTAAGATAGCTTTCGGTGATAAAAATGTTCTGCTGGACATTTCTTGTACGAATCTCTGTTGTCTCACACAATAGTTTCTATTACTGAAAATAACGTGTAATTGATGAATGCTCCAATCAGTACTTGGAATCAGTTGCATAACTTATTGAAGTACTGATACTTTAGGTTGTCCTGGCAAAAGGATAATGGTCTGGGTGATCTCTTGATATTGTATGGTTGCCGATTGGAATTAATCACTAAAGTGTATATAATAACTAAGTGGGTTAAGGAAAATAATAGAACAGTTTGATTTGCTCATTTTACTGTAATGCAGCCTTTAAACCAGGAAAAGACACTCATGTGATGTTACAATAACCAAAATCTAAGACAATATCAAGTCTCATATCACAATACTTGTATAATATCAATATACTTCCCATGTTATTACTTAAAACAACCTGTTTGTCCTTGTATTTTATTAAGACTCTTTCAACATTACTGGATATTGTCATCACAACAAAAAGTATGTATCTGTAGTGGAGAACCTTTACGCGAATGCCCGAGTATACAATCTCACAATGGCTATCCTTGTCCAGATACTGTAAGACTTTTTAGAGAATGACATTATCGTGGTCAGTGCATTTCCAGTCACACAGGAAGAAAGTATTTAATCAGTCATTGTAGTTCAGCCTCATAAAAAAGCCAGTTCTGTCAAACAAGGTTACACCTAGATAACAAACCAACAGTAGGTCAGAGAGGGAGATCATCACTGCAGCTACACTGGGAACCAAAATGTGGATCAGTTCACTGGTAATTTGCAAATAACAATTATTTTAGTTATCGATTGATCTGCTGTTTATTCTTTTCAATTGATTGGTTAATTAGTTTATAATATATCAGAAAATAGTGTAAAAGGGTTAGTTGACTTGCATTTCATTGGCAACACTCCAGTCTTCCGACCACTCGAAGCGATGTACACTTCATGTGAACATTCACCCATTCAAACACACAGTCATACACTGATAGCCAGTGCGGCCATGCAAGGTGCCACATGCTCATCAGGATCTAAACTAATGTTCATTCGCGCATTCAGACCATTAGCACTTTCCTGGGTCGAGACCTTTGAATCAGCCCATTCCACTGAGTTTGAGTCAACTGATTTGTCTGGAATTGTGACATAAACCAATGTTTTTTCGATTAAATAGTAAATGACCAATAAGCGCAGTCGGGGGGGAAATGATTAGCCAATCAGTGCTAAGGGCCAGGACTCAGGCCTTTGTCAAGCCACTGACGAGCGTTGTCAGCTGTGCTCCAGAACAGAGGAGTAATAATAACAACAATGGAAACCGTTACAGACGTTCTCTTTTTAACTCACTCCGCTCTTAAAACACCCGCTCAAAGAATGTTGTCATGGGATTTGATCCTCTGTAAATGTGTTGGTCTCAAGTGATTGGTTAGCAAAAATCTAATCCCCCACGGAAATTAGATTAGATTAAAGTGGAGGTAATATCAAAATTAAGATGTATCAGTGTTGTCTGACATCAGGCACCGATGGCACAGCTTTCGGTGTTTTACGGGGACATTCCAACATGGAGACTGGAAAATCCGGGGATCGAACCGCCAATAATTCTATTAGTGGATGAACCTATCTAGCTCCTGAGCCACATCACACTTTCCCAGGGCCCATAGTGACATCTTCATGCCTTCAGCCTCACATTTAAGAAGCTTTTTGCTTACATCACCCCAACAATGGGTACATTTTACAAAATAGAAACTTGTTTCTGGTCCATGTTTGATAAGGATTTACCTAATTTATTGAGCCATTTCTTAACTCGAGTAACTCGGATTGGCTTTGTGGTGCAGTGTGACAGTTTCTTGTCAGAGTGTCGCTGCTGTGACCCTTGAAAACCTAAAATTATCCCCCAGCTGGGAATCCTACTTTGGTGATATTTGTATCCCCACATAGAAGGCTGACAGGGTTCGTATTCAGTCTCTGACATTTGACACAAAAGAGTATTAGACGAGCTACTGCATGAACCGAGCTTTACAGAACCACTTGATTCATTCATTAGCATTTTCTTATGCAGTTAATGAGACCAGCCCAGTTAATATTTTTATTGTACAGTGAAATGCTCCCTTGCTGTTATCTTTCAGTTGTTGTGTGTTTTTAAGCAGCATTTCATACTGTCCAAATGTAAAATGTCTGCTTTAACATCACTTATTGGTGCAGCAATGAGTCTTAAAACCTGAAAATGAGTTAGCATTTTGCACTTTCAGTTCCCTCTTCTGTAAGTCTAACTGAGGTTTTTGGTTAGAAACACAAGCTCAAGAGATTATAATGTTTTGTTCTACGACATAAATTAAGTGAGTTAATACCTTATTTTTAAATTAAGCTCTATTTTTAAATTAAGCTCTATTTTTAAATTATTTAAATGATATCCAGCTAGACAGCGTTTTCAAGTCACTTACTCCCAATAATAGGAATTCACCACAACTTGTCGTGTTTTTTTAATCACAATCTTCCCACCCCGACATGTATACTATAGGTTTGTTTGACCAGCCATTCATCGCTGGTTTCCTTCTACTTGAGCCCACGGACCCGTTGAGCTAAACAAGGCCAATCTCGCTTTCAATTTACGTCACACTGCATGAAGAGACACAAGAAACTGACTGTAAAGTAATCAGAAACAGTAAATAATCAAAATAGTAAATCTCCCCCTGTAGTTTAAACTTTTACAGGTGTATAAAACGCTCCTTTTTTAAAAGGGAGACGGTGGCTGCTGAAGGTCTCGGGTCATGTCAGAGAGTCTTGGCATGATGACCGTGTCCTAGACAGGATGGTGTAACAGTCCTGTGATCACAAGTCACATGAGGCTGTCAAATATTCACTTTCCTTTTTCTTGTGACTTCACACTTTGTCTCTTTCTCACCCTGAACCAAACCCTTCTCTCAGTCACTCCATCTCTGTGTCCCTGACACATCCGTCTCCACCCTCCACCTCTGTCATTCCCCTCTTAACTTTGACTGGGATTCAACATCAGATTTGCTCTGGTGGATCATGGGTGTTTCTCTATAAAGTACTAACTTCCTGAATAGTGTGAAAAACAAAACTGCAATGCAAGAGTTTCACAGCAAACGTGTTAATTATGTTAAAACACAATCTTTCTTGGGACTTTATGGAACATACTTATGTCAGCTCCACAGGTTTTTACGTAGAAACCTAACATTTTAGAAATGGATATCTCCTTCCAACCTCTCTGGGTAACGAGTATCACTGTCACACAACGTTTAACCGTGACAGCTCCAAATCCACATGATAGTGGATAGTTGTCAGACCCTGGTCGGAGCTGGCCGATGCTACGCTATGATTGACCAGTCCGTGTTGCAGGACTTAGTGAACAGTCAATTGCTTTGCTACAACAGATTGAAAAAAAATGGTCTAATATT